GCAGAGGGAAGCTATCTTTTGGGCAAGCTTTGTTAAGGTTGGTATAATCTACGCATACCCTCCATTTCCCATTCTTCTTTTGAACGACTACTACATTTGAGAGCCATTGTGGGTACTGCACCTCTTGAATGAATCCTGCTTGTAATAGTTTATTTACTTCCTCGGCTATTATGCGATTCCGTTCAGGTGCGAACCGTCGGTGCCTCTACTTGATCGGCCTGAATTCTGGGTTAACCCTCAAACTATGGCATGAGACCGTAGGATCGATCCCCACTATGTCCGAGTGATCCCAGGCAAAGACATCTGAATTGCACCGAATGACCCTGATCACTGCTTCCTTCTCTTCGGCTGTGCAAGATGAGCCAATGTAGGTGACCTTCTGAGGGTCTCCGAGGACTACCTCTATAGCTTCGAGGGACTCCTCGGTAGGTGCTTCAGCCTCGGCTTCTTCCTCTGCCTTGAGATACTTGGGCAGAGGATATTGTAACTGCTATTTGATTGTGCCTTTGGGATTCGCCTCTAACTGAGGTGATTTCGACGCCTTTTTTGCTTCATGTAGCGTTAGTATGTAGCATTCTTTTGCAGCCACCTGGTCTCCCCAGAGATCGATGACTTCCCTGCCATCTGGGGATAAACACCTCATTACTTGATGAAGGGTAGAGGGGACTCCGTTCATACGATGGATCCAACCTCTCCCCATAATGAGGTTATAAGATGGATGAATCTCCGTCACGACAAAGTTCTCCTTCAGAGTCCTCTTTGCTGCAGTAACGGATAGATCGATCACCCCAAGCGGATTTACCTTAGTACCATCAAATCCCATTAGGGGGCTGGAAGTTGGCCTGATGGACGATGGTGAAACCCCCAACTGATTAAAAGCTGTTTTTGTAATGATGTTGGCGCTACTTCCCGGATCTATCAGCACTTTCCTGATCATATAATTCGCTACCAGGAGGCTGATGACCAAGGGGTCCTCATGCGGGCGCTGGACTCTAGAAAGATCATTGTTACCGAATCCAATGTTGATGCTGCCTGGTGCAACCGTGTTTACCGAAGACAATCTTCGTAACTTATGAGCCTCTCTCAGCCTGGATTTGTACAACTCTTTAGACTCTTCATCATCCTCTAACCTTCCGTGTATAGTATGGATAACCTTTACCTGACCGCCCTCTACCCGTCGAGGGTTAACCTCCCGAGGTTTTACGTGCTCCTTCGTGGCGAGATACTCCACCAACTCTCCTCTCGCTATCATGCTTTCTACCTGTCGCTGAAGGGACCTGCAGTCATTGGTGGTATGCCCATAGTCTCTATGGTAGGCACAATGTTTGCTTTTGTCCCTCTGCTCTAAGGGTTGTTTCATGGGCTGAGGAGTTGCGAACCTCGTCTTATTCTCTTGGAATAGGCGCGCCAAGGTAGTACGGAGAGGGGTAAGCCTGTCCTCTGTCCTTCGCCTCTTCTCAGACGCTTGGGTGACTTGTGTGGCGGTATGAGGAACCTTTTGCATCCTTGTGCTCGCAGCTTTCTCTCGAGACTTGTTTTCCACTGTGACGAGGGTAGCGTGCTGTGCACGGTGGGTTACGTTTTCTTCCAACCGAATGTAGATTTGTGCCCTAGCGTTCAAAGTCTGCATATCCGGGGGGGAATATTTGACCAAGGATGTGTGAAACTTGGTTCCCTGAATCATTGCCAACTTAAATGTTTCGATTGCCGTGGCAGGGTGGCAATCTGCTATCTCCGAGGCCTCCATGTTAAACCTGGATAAAAAATCTTGCAGAGTTTCTCCCTTCCTTTGCCTTATGGTGAAAAGGCTAGCGATACTTTTCTTCTGCTTCTTATTTCCGCAATACTGGGCTAAGAACATAGTGCACAAGGTCTCATAATCAGGGATAGACTTGTGTGGCCTATTCCTGAACCATTCTAACGCTGCTCCGGTTAAACTGGTAGGAAAAACCTTACACATCCACGGATCGTTATGATCGTCCATTGCCATCTTTTGCGCATAATGATCGAGATGCCGAGAGGGGTCTCCTGCCCCATCGAACTGGGTGAAGGATGGCATAGTGAACTTCTTTGGTCTCTACACAAGGTACACCTTGTCAGTAAAGGGGGTCTTGATCAAGGAGTTTTTGTACTCTCTAGCCATCTCGGCTGGTGTCTGAACTCTTAAGAGCTTCTTTTCGTCGAAGACATCTTGTACGCGTGCGCCATCTGGAATGCCATTGGACCATACCGTAAGCCTATAGCTGGACTCGGCCTGTTCGTCCTGTGTGCGACGCGGGAGATCATCCGAAGCAACCGCCTCGGACCTCGTCCCTTGCTTTTGCTAAACCTCATTAGGTCGAGCCCCGTTGGGTGGTGTCTCGTTGGCTGGAGGCTCGTGAACTGGAGGTAAATTCTGGGTGGGGGGTGGTGCTGCAGCATCGCCTGGTGGTGGTTGTGGCGTTAGCCTGGCCATGGCCGTGTGCAGCGTATGAGTCTGCTGCTGAAGCGCAGCTATCTGGGCGACACTCGTATCGTTTGCTTGCCGGAGTGTCTCAAATTGGTACAAGAACTCTTCTCGCATCTTTTGCATCAATTCTATCTGTTGATTCATTGCTGACTCTCCGTTTGACATTCCAGACACGACTAAGGATTTGATTTGAAGAACAAGTGGGAGTATATTTTTATACGTTTCCCACAGATGGCGCCAAAGTGTAGGTGCAGAATTTCGCTTAACCAATAATGATTGAGAAAAATAAAACAACTCACTCAACAAACAATGAAAATAAACAAGAACAGTATATAGAGAAGCGTAGAATTGCTTGATCGATTTATTGGAGGTCTTAGCCTCTATTTATATACAAAAGATTGCAAAATTATGGTAGGACTCGCGTTGCTTGCTCTCCAATTCTTTCTATATAAACATTCTTTACTAATAGAGTTCTTTCCATTGTCGAATTTTCCATACATAGAACTTGCCTTGTACAGAACTTCCTATCTCAGAGTTTTCCTTCTACAGTAAATCCTTCAACTGGTAGGACTTGTGCATTCATGAATGACTGGGCTGAACATATTTTGATCCGACTGGGCTTAAGTAACAGGCCGGATGTTAAATATTAACAAGCTGGGCTGATGACTTCTTGATTCGGCCTTGATGGAGGTTGGAGGACAAATAACAATGGTCTTGGGTTGTAAATACCCTCAATTTGGGCTTAAGCATGATGGGCCTTATATGTCGTTGGAATGTAGATATGGGTAGTGGTGACGTATGTGCTTTTTATTGGAGGGAGTTTTTTTTCCCTCCACACCCTTTTTTCTTAATAATTGAAACAAGGTCACTTTAAACTATATATATATATATATATACCTTAAAATGCCATTAGCTAACATAAATACATAAGAAGGTGTTTTTTTTTCCTTTTTTCTTAATAATTGAAATAAGGTCACTATACAGTTTTTGTAAATAAAAAAAGAATTCCCAAGGGCTTCTTCTTAGGAATTAATGGTTCTTCGAAACTTTCACATAATCACATAAAAGTTTCTAAGAACCTTTACTTCCAAAGAAAAACCCCTTAGGAATTTAAAATATATATGTATGCACGTAGTTTAAACTGATCTTATTTCAATTATTAGCTAATTGCATTTGAAGGTTTTTTTTTTTCTATAAAAAAAACTATATATGCATATAGTTTTAAAGTGACCTTGTTTCAATTATTAAGGAAGAAGAAAAAAAAAAAAAAAAAAAAAAAAAAAAAAAAACCCTTCAAATGCATTTATGTACTAGCTAATTGCATTTGAAGGTATTTTTTTATTTAATAAAAAAGATAAATAGTAAAGTGACCTTGTTTCAACTACTCAAAAAAAAAGGAAAAAAAAGAATATTCGAATGCATTTATGTCTAGTTAATTGCATTTGAAGGGTTTTTTCTATTAAAAAAAAAATTATATACATATAATTTAAAGTGACTTTGTTTCAATTATTAAGAAAAAAGAAAAACCTTCAAATGGTTGGAGGGGTAATTTCGCCCCATAAAGGGATTTTTCTAATTGAAGAGCAGTTTTGCAACAACTATAATACTTTAAAGGGGTTTTTTGGCAACTTTTTTGTGCATATTAGAATGATGTTTTATGAAACTAGGAGGTTTTATGCAATTTTTTCTTGTTAAAAATCTATTTTAACATTGTGTTTAGTTACTTAAGTCCCGTTGACATGCGTTTTGTTTCTGCTGTTTATGTTTTTGGACTGCTACAGTGTCGATTTTGGCAACAAAAAGCATGTTTAATGCGGCCTTGTTTTATTTTACACAATATTAAAACACTTCTTGAGCAGTGGCCCAAAACCAAAACACCAAAAAGTTATTTTTTCTTATTTTGATAACGTTCATGGCTCAAAACCATAATAGTAGCACAATACGGGCCAAAAATAAAACGCCTAAAATATCGTTCCCAAACGTACTTCCGATTTTTTTTCAAAACACTCCTATAGCAAAAACACTGTTTATGTTTTAGCAAAAAACAAAATATCTAAAACAAAGCACATGCCAAACGAGTCCTTAATATTAGATGATTATAACGGCCCTATGAAATTACCAACATAACCTCAATTAAGTTCAGATTTTTTTCCAATTTATTAATTGTAACATTTAGATAGATTAAAATGGCTATTTGGCATGAAGTTTTAGTTTAAATGTTGTTTGCAAAAGTCTAAGGATGGGAAGAACTTTATCAATTTACCCTTTTTTATATTGTCCTTTTTTTATGGTAAGTTTTTTAAATGGATATATATCAAATTGGTGTATAGATATTAGTAGACCTGGAATCAAATTCAGGGCGGATCAAGCTTGATCCGGTTCAAATCCGATAAGGAATTTTTATGATTCGATCCAGTAATTCGACGAATCACTCCTTATCAAATCTAAATTCCATATTCAATTTTATCGTACATCTAACCCGATAATCCATCTGATTACAAATTACATTCCATTGCACAAAGGAAGCAATTGAATAAAAGAGGATAATATATATATATATATATATATATATATATATATATATTAGGGCAAAGTAGCTGTAAAGAAATCAAAAATAAAGAAAAGGGGGAGAGATTGGAAGAATTCAAGTGAGAGGAAAGAAGAAGAATAGGAGGGGGAAAAGATTAAAAAAAAAAAAAATTGAGATAATTTTGGTGTTAAAGGGAAAAGAGGAATTTAGGGCTTTTAATAGAGCAAGGAGAAAGGAATTTAGGGCTTGTAATAAAGAAAAAGAAAAGGAAAAAGAGCAAAGAAAGAGAGAGAAATAGAAAAAATTTAGGCCCTGCTTGTATTGATTCTCCCAAAACAGAGGAGTTATAAAAAACAGTTTTTCAATTTTTTAGTCTACTTGAAACTTGTTTCATGAAAACTGTTTTCATAAAACTGAGATAAATGAGTATCAGTTTTCTGAAAACAACAAAATGTTGTTTTAGGAGTTTTTAAAACAAAGTGAAAACACGAAGGAGCAATGCGGAGAACACTGTGCACTTAAAAAAAAACGGAAGGGCCTATCTCGGACATAACCTACCTTTTACGCCTCCTCCGAAACAGGCTCTGCAACGCCTCTCCTCTCTCTCTCTCTCTACGGCTTCTCAGCTTCTCTCTCCTCTCTACGGCTTCTCTCTCCTCTCTACCGCTTCTTTCTGCAAGATCGCTACACTTCTGTCCTCTAGATCCAACTTTTACTCAGATTTTGTTGAGGTAAACACAAATCACACTCCTTTTTCTGTAGCAAGTTTTTGTGGTTATGGATTTTGTTTTCTTTATGAATTTGGTTATAGATTTGGTTGGTTGCAGATTTGATTGTGTATTTTGTTGGTTGTGTGAGTTTTGCTGTGGATTTGATTTTCAGTTTAGAGATTTGGGGTTTTTAGTTTAGGGATTTGATTTTCAATTTAGGGATTTGATTTTCAATATATATATATGTGTATGTATATATTCGTCTATATATATATATATATATATATATATATGGTCACTCTTGGGTTTGGTTCACCCACCCAGTGATAGATTTAGGTTAATACCTCCAAACTAAATCAAATGGGGGATGGCTCGATCTTGAGTTCCAGGCTCCAGCCTTAGTGTAATCATTTTTCTGTTTGTCATTATTAGTTTAATTTTCTATTTTGTTCACAGAAGATTGTTGATTTTCTTTTTCATCCTCTTTTCGTTTTTGTTGTTTCTCACTTCCAGTAAAAAGGTGAGATAATTTTTACTTCTCTGTTAGGTGGTATGATTAACATATATATGGCAAACACAAGCACAAAAAAGGCACAATTTAGCTAGATTTGAGTCCTAGAATTCCCATATCTCGTTCTTCCCTAATATGTTTAGTATGTTCAGCTATTGTTTGGAATAACGAATTGGTATATATAATATATGTGTTTATATAGAAGGTCGACATTTAAACATTAGACTATATATTATAAAAATAGGATGGCTATTGTGATGGTGTGATGTCAACAGATTTTGAGCGATGCAGGTCTCAATCATAGGATGTTGGCTTAAATTCCTCTTAGTTATATGCACCCATTGAAGAACTTCACAATTGCTTGTATTTTCTGCTAATTGTTTATTATGGTTGGTGCATTATACTATTGTTCTTATTATTGTTTTTATTGTATGTTTATGTTTTATATTAGTCTATCAACTAATTTATGCATGCCAGTACTGGTATTATTATACATTGAATTTGCTGATCCAAATCACACGGGACTACTTGTACCATTGGACCACTACATGATTAGTTCAAACTCTTTTTCTTTCTTTTTTTTCTCCTTGGGAGCTCATCATTTACAATTTATTGTGCTTTTCATAAGCACAATCATTATTTTATACATAGAACAGAGAAGATTGTTGATTGGGTTGGGTGATTTGTTCGAAATTGTGCTTTTCATAAGCACAATCATTATTTTATACATAGAACAAAGAAGATTGTTGATTGGGTTGGGTGATTGTCTTATCTTAGACATGGGTTCACTTTTTTGTCTTAGTGGTATGTTGTTTTTCAAGCTCTGTAGCTTGACTTTCCTCGTCATGATTAGATTTACCAAGGAAGGAAAAAAAGAAACAACTTTTTGTAGTGGTATGGTAAATGATGTGTATATATATATATATAGTTCTCTTCCATTATGTAGTGGCCAAAACAATGAAATTGTGCTCCTAACAGATTCCTAGTTGCTAAAAAAATAATGGTTTTCCAAAGATGCAAGTACTATCATATTAGAACTTGTTTGATTCTTACTAATTTTTTTTTTATTTTTTTTATTTTTTATTGGGTTTGAATTGAACTATATATATATGTAAGATATGCAAGTACTATCATATTAAAATTGAACTATATATATATATATATATATATAGAGAGAGAGAGAGAGAGAGAGAGAGAGAGAGAGAGAGAGGTCTTTGTTTTTGTTTGTTCCTGCACCATTTAAAATGAAACACAAGAAGTTAACTAGACCCAAAATATAGAACCACCGCCCCTACCATCCAATAACAGAACAATAAAACTCTAGAAATTACAGAGTAATAACCCGCCTCCTGTAATCGTTGTATAATGAACCCTGCAATAATTAAAAAAGGAATAGAAAAGAAAAGAAAAGAAATATTGAGGAAAGGAATATATAAACAAAAGTATATAACAATAATTTAGCAAAACAAAGAGGACAAAAAATGGTAGTGAACAACATCTAGAGTGTGAACTTGTATCTCTTTGAAGTCATCTTTTAATGCAAGAGGAACCAAATAAGTGGCCACAAGGAAGACAACTGCAATACTCAAATCAAATATGTAGAAAAACCCATGTCAAAAAGACTCGGAGAAACATCAAATTTTGAGAAATTAGTTATAGAACTGTATAAATTAAAGAATGAGAATCCACACACTGATGAAATTGTGCACATATCTACTGTGTGCCACACAAATATCTACACATATACATGAGAATATACACACACACAAAACTGCAGACACTGATTTAACTGTATAATTAAATTATACACATGTATAATATTATACATGATTCAAAAATATCTTACAGAAATATGGAAAGACTTTAGCAATCAATTTTACTTACATTTTCTTCCAACGTTGATATTGTACCTTTAAATATCCATTAGCCATTTCCAAGAAGTTTAACAATGCAATTTATTGCAACTGAACTAGAAACCCATGAAGGAAAAAAAAAAAAAAAAAAGTTGTTCTTTTGACTTCTTTTATTGCTGAAAAAGGGTTTACAAAAAACAGTTTTATATTTTTGGAGTTAAAAAAAACTGTTCTTCAAATTTTTAGTTTAATTATAGCACATCAACTTTGTTTTGTCTAGGTTCTTGGAAAATCAAGATGGACATAGATTGGAGTGACACATCGTCTAATGATTCAGATGAAGATTTTGATGACCTTGTAGATTGCATGTATTTGAAATTGATGCAGGAGAATGAAGATTCTTTTAAATCCAAGGTACCAAAGAGAATTTCAGGGTTAACAGGTCATGAGTATGTTCAGGAATTGTTGAATGACCATGTCGGTCGATGTTTTGATTTATTACGAATGGATAGAGAAGTCTTTCTGAAATTATGTCGAATATTGAGAGAACATAAATTGTTGGAAGACACACATAAAATTTCAATCGAGGAGTCAGTGGTAATGTTTCTGTTCATTATAGGACATAATATTTGTCATGCAGTGGTAGCTGAACGATTTCAACATTTTAGAGAAACAGTTTCTAGACATTTTAAGCAAGTATTGAGAGCAATATTATGATACCCCTTGGATCCGAGACACGGGTTGATCAGGCCCAGGCCCAAACCCAAGGGAATATCAAACAATTAAAGTATTTTAAAGCGAACACAGATGACAAAATGAAATAATAAAGATGGAATAAAACTGAAAAAAACATTAATTATAAAACCCTCCATGCATAACTGAAATAATAAAACTCCAATCCTCCCAAAACTTCAAGGTTACAACTTGGGAATCCACTGGTGGACCCCTAACCAAAAGTTCAACTGAAACTGAAAATTTAAAATATAAAATGCTAGAAACATCGAGAAAATCCTACGTAATCAGATGAATGTGAGACTGTCCTTGACAAGCACGATCAAGCTCTAAGGCTGGAACCATCCTGTACCTGAAAAGAATAATAAAGGAGTGGGTCAGATCCACGAGCAAGTTCTAATCTAACTGCAATCCATACAATGACCCGATACGCAGATACACCGTAGACACCTCACAATATCTATCTAGTCCATAAGTATAAATATATCCACACTATGGGACATTCACTAGTCTATAATAGGGGTCTCAACCTGAATAGAATGTAACATGCGAATACGCACCCAAAGGTGGGCATGAGTACCTAGACCTAACAGGGTACACCTCAACCTATTATAACCAGCTACGCATCCACCGCATATACGCACCCTAACCAACGAGTCTGAGACTCAAGCTCAGCTCGTGGTACCATAAACATATATATAACATCCATCCAAATCCAGGGTATGTAGTTCAAATATTTAATAAACTGACATACAACAAACCAACTGGTTAGTCACCCAACTTATTCAGTTGATGTGACTTAACCTCCGTCCATTAATCCAAGAAGCCACTCAACTTAGTTGCAGTTGACATGTCTTAACCAAAATTAGGATTCAACATTTATAAATCCATTCCTTAAATCCGTTAGGTTAGGTTTAGGTGTTTGGAGCTAAACCGTCACCAGTATGTCATCGTCCCATACCGGTGCATACTATCCTCCATATCCAGGTAAATTACAATGTATACATAATGAACAAGTAATTTACAGTCCAAAACCACCATCCAAATAACTGCAGAAAAGTATTTAAGATTTCAGCAATTTAAATCCCATAATTAAACCATGTAGTTGCAGGAAACAGTTTAATAGTTTACACAACTAGCATCCAAAGCATGCATAGACCCAATCCAATATATCAATGACTCTATCATGCATTTAGAACAAATTCTATAATCCCATTATAGTCCAACAAATTGCTAAATTAACCTAAACAATTTATTTCGTCCCATCCGATAACAGTGTACTAAGTCATACGCTTTTATACTGTTTTATCCTTTCTCTTAGAGACTTAAACCATGCATCAACTAGTTTAATTACACTTAGAATCAAGTAATTAAATCCTCTGAAAAGTCCCCACAATCCATTAGAAGCATCCCAAGGCTCAAACAGTGTCCAGAATACCAAACAGTGCCTTAAAAACTAAAAATAAAATAAAAATTAATCGTATATTGCAAAGGGAGCCTGCTCCAAATTTTGGGAGCAAGCTCTTTCAGCCTAGAGCCGGCTCTAGGAGTCCTTAGAGCCAGCTCTACTTGTTGTGGGAGCCGGCTCCCACATCCATGGAGCCGGCTCTCACCTCCTTTGAGAGCCTCTGTCCCCGTTGCTTCGTTTCAGTCCATCTGCTCATTCTCTGATCAATTCCTACCACTCTATTGGTTTCTAAAATAGATTTTAAGCATCTTATTAACACCCATAAGCATCCCAAAGGTTTGATAACAACCATTAGAATCAATTACAGAGGTTAAATTGGCTACCGAACTAACACGCGTTAGGAACAAATCTCTACAACTATTTTGCATTAACAGTTCTAGTCCAACCCCTCTATTCCTCTTCACTACTGATCTTTAGAGTCCTATAACACCCCATAATCATCCCCATGATTTATTTACAGAGGTTAAAAACAATTACAAAAACTAAAATTGCTAACAACAAAACATGCTTAAACAGAGAACTGAAACAAGACTTGCAAACATTTAACAGAATTTATTTTAACACGCAGAGATCATCAATATTTTATATGGTAAGCATTTAAGTTCTGGTTTTAATAATTAATTAAACCCTAGAGATTATCTAGGTGCACAGAACACAAGCCAGATGGAAGGAGGAAGAGAAGAACTTGCCTGCAGTTTTGGACTCAAAATTTGTCGCCGTCGTCCTAACTTCTGGCAACCACTGCAACACTGTCTAGCCTCCTATTACTTCTGTTCTTCCCTTTTTCCTAAGCTAAATCTTGAAGCCTCGGTTGGAAATCTCACAAACTTGCTCTGCTCTCTCAAAGCCTCACTTTGTAACTCTCTGTCTCTATGTTACATGAGTAGGGGTTTTCCATCCCTTAATACAGATACAACTATGTATAAATAGGCGTAAAAATCCTAAACCCTAAGCTTTGTTTAATTCAGCCAGAGCCCTAATGTAAAACTCTAGTCAGTCGGCCCATATAGCAATCTAGGTTATAAGATACTCGGCTACATACGCGTAACCTCTTAGGGAACCCTACTATTTAAAATTAGACCAGTTAGTAATTTATTTTAATACAGTAACTGATACTAATTTAAACTATAATTTAATCTAATTAAAATATTTAAATAAACCAATTTACACATTAGAATGACCAACTAATCCAATTACAGAAAATACACATATAACTAAATACACAACCCAATTAAAGAAAATAAGAAACAATTAACGAAAATAAAATTCATAATTAAACAATTAAAACACTTAAACAATAAATGCTAACTAAATACATGTCACATAAAATTAATAAATAAAAATAATTAAACCAAAAAAAATCATGTAAAAATACAATAAAAATAATAAATAAATACCGAGACTATCCTTTTAAAATTAGGGGTATTACAAATATGTCGCCTTGGGAAATTCCTCATACGTCCACCACAAAGCAATGATGTGCCTTCTCATATACTTCATAATCCTAAATACTATCCTTGGTTTAAGAATTGCATTGGCGCAATTGATAGAACACATATAAGTGCTTTTGCACCTGCCAGCAAACAAACTCCTTATAGAGGAAGAAAGTCTATAGTGACACAAAATATTATGTGTGCTTGCTCATTTGATATGCTATTTACTTTCGTTTAAGCGGGTTAGGAGGGAACGACAAATGACTCGAGAGTTTTTATTGATGCAATTACTAGAGCTGTTGCATGATTCCCTATACCAGCTGATAGTATTACTATTACTTTTGTCTTTTTAATATTAATAATAACATGCTATTAACCCTAATAAAATTTAAATAATTTTTTGCAGGAAAATACTATGTAGTTGATTTTGGTTACCCATGCACAAAAGGATTTCTGCCTCCATATCATGGTCAAAAATATCATCTACAAGATTATAGGGGTAACAATTGGCAATCGCGTGGTGCAAAGGAATTGTTTAACTACTGGCATTCATCACTTCACAATGTCATTGAACGTTATTTTGGAGTACTAAAGGCTCGTTTTCCCATTTTAAAGCTTATGTCTTGCTATAAATTGGTTAGACAACGACTGATAATAACTGCTTGTTGCACGATTCACAATTTCACTCGTCAAAATATATTAGATGATCGTTTTTTTGTGGAGTATGGGGAAGAAGATGTTAATGTCATTGATGGGGAGAATGGTAACAGTAGTAATGCTGGTGTACTGAATGCACTTAATTAATCTGATGATGGTGCAGCACAAATGGGAGCCCTTAGAACTCATCTGACAAATCAAATGTGGGCATTATTCAGAGGCAATGATAGATGAAGTTATTTTTATAATTTTCTACTGTTTTGTTTTGATTACCTATTTGTGTAATTATTTAATATTTTGTTTTGGTTATGTATGACTAAAATTAATGTTTGTACAATTAAAAGTGCATATGACACTTGAAGTAATTAATGTAACTCTTTTATTGTATTTAAATTTAATCAAATTTTAATTAAACTTAATATATTGTATTTGTGCAACTTTTATTAACTATACTTGCTAAAATGAATTCATCTCCAACACCTATATATATATATATATATATATATATATATATATATATATATAGTTAATATCATAAATTAAATAAATAAAAGAGTGATGTACAATAATTTTTTTATTTATTTTCTTAGTTTAGAAAACTCTTGTCAAAAACTCATCCAATCAAGTCGTTTGATGAGTTTTTGTTTTTCAGAAACTATTTTGTAAATTCTTCTAACCAAGCAAACTTGAAATCTGAAAAAACTAAAAACTGTTATTGGAAAATTGTTTTTGAGAACTGTTCTAGAGAACAAGTTTCATAAATCCATTCCAAGCATGGCGTTAGTGTTCAGGAAAAGTCTTCCACGTCATCGCTTCCTCTATTGCGTACCTTTTCTCTCAAACTGTGTGATTCTGTAGTTATGCTAATGGGAGTGAATTATTTATATATATATATATATATAAATAATTTATATTATATATAAATTATAAATTAAATAAAGAGAGTAGCATATTATATATACATATATATATATATATATATATATATTTATATCATATATAAATTATAAATTAAATAAAGAGAGTAGCATATTATATATACATATATATATATATATATATATATATATATATATATATATATATAAAATAGGCAGGCTCTCATGCGATCCAAAAGAACGGATTTTTTAGCGGATCAATAGTCAAATAGTCAATCATAATACTTTATCAGACCTAACCATATTTAATATTTGTTACCTTAATAGTCAATTTATCATATTTAGTCAATACCTTTTATTCAATGTCTCTCCTCCTTAATCTCTTCCATTTTCCTTGCAATCTCCAACAGTCAATTTGTTTATAAATTTGTAATAATTGCTTATGATAAAATCCCCCTAAATTGAAAAGAAAAAAAATTAAAAGGGCAAAAAAATTAAAAAAGCTTATTCACGAATCCTAAAAAATTGGTATCCTTTGAACACATGAAAAAAGTTTATTCAGTAATTATTCCACACTTCGTTCTCAATTTGTTTTTTTAACCTAGTAATGCGATCTTACTTATTTTCGATTAGGAATTGAGCATCATTTGGAAACTAATTTAAGAATTGTCCCACATGTATCTAGAGTACAGGGAACCAATTGGCATATTGGAAGCATATGATAGATTAATGGCATGAGAAGGAGTTTCCAATTTACATTGCAAATTGATAAATAAGGTTTAGTTTGATGTACCTGTACAAGTAGTACCATGAATTGCTAGACATGTAGTATTAAAGTTCTTGTTAACGACGATCTAAATTGGAGAAACTGTGAAGTGGTAAATAGGGGGTGTGTGTGTTATGTGCACTTGACGTGGCATCGTCAAAATGTTTCTGCATGATTATTTTCGACGACCGAAAAAAGTAAAAAAAAAAAGTTGAATAATAGAAATAATTTTTGAGATACTTTTAAATTTTGAACGTGGATTTTCCGATACCATAAAATATTTTCAAAATTGGGATGATGAGATTGGATATTTAATTGTATTTGTGCATAAAATTTAAACGAAATTATAATGCATGAAAATTATGGTAAATTGACTATTAAGGTAACTATGGTAAATTCACCTGCCATTACTCTTCGATTTTATGTTGAGGTTTATCCTCTAGAAAGACTCAAATCAATTTTTAGATCATAGCTCATGAATCAAGTATCAATTATCACTATATCTACTGAGGGGTTGACGAGCTCTGACGGTGACCTGCAACCGGGCAAGTGCGTGCATGCATTGCGAGGCTATTCGTGCTTGTTTTCTCACGTAGGCTCCGCGAATCACAGCTTGCACCTTAACAAGACTCTTGAGCACGAAATACTTTCCTTGCCTGTCAACATTCACATGCCAAACGATAAATAAAGAGAGCTCACGAGTCATATATGTAAAATCATTATATTAGTCACTAGGAACTTAGGAATCTCTCCTATACACAACATGCATGGGTTGTGCACATTGAAAAGTGCAGATCATTCCACATGGAATAGGGCCCACTTTATCTATGACTACCAAACTACATGTGAAGTGACCTCCACTCTTCTTGTGCCGTGCATGGATTAGGTTCCTAATTCCTGAAATAGATACATGAAAAGAAATGTTGATGGGTGAAGGGTGAAATACAAGATGAGCTCTAAAAAAGGCTTGGATCTTCATGGCTGCAATGTCATCTTCGGATAGGAGCTTTTTCTTCGAGGGAGAAGATAAAGCAGCTTCTGGTTTTGTGATTTCGCTATTGACTGCTGCTTCTGTGGCGGTTGCTTCGTCCGTGAAGCTGGTGCTTGTGGCGTTGGTGTGGAGAACAATGACAGTTTCATGATGAGGAAGAGGTGGAGATCGGAAAAGCTTTCTCCGAATAACTTGAATAAGGCCAAACCAATTCTGTGACTTTCCATTTCTTCCTATTGTTGCTTCAGACCTTGCTTTAGATTCAATGTATACTACTACTTCATTCATAAGAGCTTGGAGAAGTTCCCTTAAAGGTTGGAGTTGTGGGCACCATGTTAGCACATATATATATATATATATATATTGAGAGAGAGAACGTGACAGAATGAATTTCTTTGAAGCATTCCAGCAACTGAATCCTGTGGGACCAAAAGTGTAAAATGACCACCATTAGACTACGTAATTATTGGCCACAGGCAACAATAGAATGGTGAATCATGAATATGTAATTATAAACATCTTTTAGACTATAGAATCAAATTATCTGTTATGTTGATGCCAAACAACAATCGTTGGGTTGTTGGGTGGTTATATTTGGTAGTATTGAATGTTTTATAATTATAATCGGAAAAATTTTTGTTTAAATTTTAAATTAAATTTGTTTTAATTTTAAATTCATCTCTTATAATTATATTATATTATAATCGGAAAAAATTTTGTTTAAATTTTAAATTAAATTTGTTATAATTTTTATTTAATTAAATTTTAATTAAATAGGTTTATGCTTGAATTAAAGTTTAGAAATTAAAATTATAGGGCTTTACCCAAGAAGGGAGCCCTTTCAAAAATTCTCAATGGCCGAGTGGAACCCAAGCCAAAGAGATCAATAAAAAGGGAAATAGTTTTCAACCAGCAATTGACGCGCCTCGGTTAAAACCTCACAAGCTGCGTCATTGCCCCAAGCGCAATGATGTGATTGTTTTATGCTGTGTATGTAGTGTTTTATAATTACACTCAGTCTCATCAATTTCTTACCTTTTTCGATGTGGGACTTATGTCACATAACTTTACAAATAGACTTTTATGCGGTTCAAAATCATATACAATTACATTAACATGTGAAAATTGCCTCAGTCAATCAAATTAGAATCCCAATCAAACATTGATCTGTTTTAAATATATTGGTCCTAGGAGGAAACTTTTCCTGCTCCGAAGGCTACTTTTAATTTGTAATTCATCCAAATGGGCCGAGCTGACCCGAAAGGGCAAACGCACCTTATGTTTTAAGAGTACTTTTAAAGTGAAATTACATATTTGCAATTATAAATAGAAAAATTAAATATTAGAAATATGTTTTTTTTTTAGTTGGTACTCACACACATGTTCCTAACTTCCTTTTGAAATAAGAGACTGATACCGCTAGATCACTCGCCCATTAAAAAATATTATAAATATGTTTGTCATTTATGTTAAGAAAAAAAAAAGTGTGTATTTGGTTAAAAATGTATTTAATTAACAACTCTTAATTTTTTATAATTTCAATTTTACGATCCTAATTTAGATTAATTAAGAGGCTGTGGTATCACCTTTCAATTCAATGACTAAGAATTCAAGTTATTGGTACTTTATAGATTGATAAAAGATATATCTATATATATATATATATACATATACACAGGACACTAGTGAATTGATATTCATGCATCCAACTCATAAATAAAAGAATCAAATATTACAATGTAATTCTTTTTCTCTCTTTCTTTTTTCCCAATCTAGCGGATAAATTTTCTTTTGTCTCAACATTCTCCTTAGCTTCGTTTGACAAGTAGACTCAGCATGATCAAACCAAATCTCAATCAAATGATCCGTTAACTAATAATTCAAGTCAAACGGTCCCCAATATTACTTCATGGTCTTAAGCCTTAATGTATTTGCCGGCAATAACAACAAATCAAATATAAGAAAGAAAATAACAAAAATATTTTGCGAGATTTACATGAATATATAAATTGATTATGGAGTCTTCTGTGATATTTGTTCAATTTAGTTTTTGAGTTAAGTAGCATTACTCGTTTTGTTATCAACCACGATGATCGTACTAGCATTGGGTCTCAAGTGTAATTTCCTTCTGACTTTTAATACTTTGTAAATATATTCTAAAATAATTTTTTTCTCCCCAAATAAATATATTCTAAAATCATCAAGACGTGTGTAGACTAGTTTATTTAAACAAGGTAATTAAAATACCCAAATGTGCTATATATATATTATAAAACCCAAATCATCAAGTTTTAAACTTAAATAATATCTCTTTTTATTATTATTATTATTATTATTATTGAGAGTATTCAAGGGTGGTTTATTGAGTTGAACTTTGTCGTTAGGAAACAAAGGAATAAATCCAAATATATCTTAGAGAAATAAAAAAATAATAATAAAAAAAAAAAACCATACAACACAGCCAGAGAAGGCGACTTAGAGGTATGACTCGTGCTCAATTTGATATATGAAATGTTAAACTCTCAATGATTTATTATTTTGTTTTTTTGGCGTTTTGAAATTATTAATCGATACAATTTGTAATGAAAATGACGTTGTTAGGAAATAAACTGACCTCCAACCCTAATTACTCTACCCAAACCCAATCTATTTATTTTTGAATTTTTAAACTCGAGTTTGACACTAAAATTTTTGGGTTAAAAAGTTGAGTTAATTGGAATTGCTTATATCACCAAATCTCCAGAAGAAAAATTTAACGTGATTTTGAGTTAGTTTCAAGTTACA